CGACGAAATTGCCTAACTATTTATGCCTATAACATATTTGTAGTATTACTGGTTAATGATTGTAACGAGTTGAAAAAGTACTGTTTTTGCGCCAAACGGCGTAAACGCTCTTAATGCGTTGCAATCACATTTTGTGTCTTTTGATAATGCAGTGGTGTATCGTTTTCAGTTGAGAGCAACTGGCAATCAATCAAGAGAAGCTGGGTCTATTTATTAGGTACTTACCATAGGAGGTAACTTACTTTTTGCTTTTGATTTACCTCGTAGATAGGGATGAAGACTTATTTGACTACATAAAAAATATTGGAAGACTGAAGAAGAGCTAGACGCTAGATTCTAATATTTTTGTATTGGGCTCAGTCAGGACGTCCTGATTTCGTAGGTTCGTATTTGTGAATATTTCATAGTTTATTCATATAAACAGCCGTACTAAACAATCAGATAAGGTCCAGTTCTATATTTACCCAGCGCGAAGTGCCGGCATTCGAGTTCAAAGCTCCCGACGAATTTTATGCAGAATCGATACCCGCGGTACTGCCGTTACACGATTTACATGCGCCGATAGCTCGTAAAGTATGCCTGTACATCCCAACTGTGGGATTGGGTCGTAATTCATCACGCCAAAATGGTAATAGTATCGGAAAATGAAGATACATGTTGTAAAATTGTCGTAACTATTATAGGCACTACATTAAATTTATGCAGATTTGAGAAATCCAAAAAAGGATATCTCTGGCCAATTTGCATGGCATCAGGGATCAGACAAATAGAGTAAATACTAGTTGCGTAAGTACCTATTTTATATCCAATCCACGCCATAAAGAACATGCCTTATAAGGAAGACAGGTGCGTAAAATGTATCAATATCCCCATGAGTGAGGTTTTACTGTAGTTCTGGAAGCCTTACTCACGCCAGATTCCTTATTTGGTAAACGCTTTAGAAAAGGCTTTACTACGCTCATTATTTCAACAATCCAAGACATTTGCTACGTCCGATGTGCTGTTCCTGTACCTCTTGTCTCAGTAAAGTCTGCGTAAAATAGTTCGTGACACCCAAAGTGGAAAAAAAGTTGACATCACAACCTTATTCCAATGAGGGCTATCGTTTTAGCGCTTACCAGTTGGCGCCACTGTAGAGTAAGGTCCTGCTGTCACTTGCTAGTCGCGAAGGCAGTGGCACTAACTGGTGAGCGCTAAAGTGGTACGAGGACTATCGCATTTGCACTCATCAAGATGACGCCACTGTAGAGTAAGGTCCTGTCAATCGCCAGGGGTACCAACTGTTAAGTATAAAAACGATAGCCCTCATTGGAACAAAGACGTGTTGCGTACTTTCTGGCTACTTTGGGTGTCACGAAGTATTTGACGCTGACTGTACCAAGTTGAGTCACCGGCCCACGCGCACCTCTAGTGACCTTGCGATACCGGTATAGTACTATCGGTTTTTTATGCTGTTTATTTGTTGAACTATTAATAGTGGATACTGAGCTTCTGTCCGCGTGTTTCGCATACCGAAGGGGACACTTATGTCTTTTGCCTTCCAATCATTAGCTTCTGTGGCATCGTAGCTACCAAATGGTTGAATCAATTTTAATCTACAGTACATAGTTGTTTTTTACCTTTTTTTGTCATCTGTCATCCGCTTTGCAATGGAGGGAAGTCGAACCTTAATTTCGAACTCCTATGTTCTTCTGATTAATTTCGTTGCGGGTCCAATGAAAATTTAACTTTCCCCCGGGACAAACTTGACCTTCATTGGTTGGGTTTTTGTGGCGGTCAAGCTGTAGATCCTGGCTGCACAGGAGTTAGAGTGGTGGGAACGAGAGGTGGGAATAGTCCCGTAGTTGTTTTTGGGGCGAATGTTGAACCCCTTTAAAAGCCTGATGGGCGATGTCGCTTGGTCATCTCATCATGGGTAGTTGCACAACGTGGCAGCGAATTACAACTAATTATCCCACAGTAAGTTCACGTAAGCGCAAGACGAAATGCGCCCGCGCATATGAAACGCTCTTACTTTCTATTGTGAAAGAGAACATTTTGACTTAGAAAATATTTTTGAAGAGTAATGATCGCTTGCCGGCTCGAGAGAGTTCTTTTATTCAATGTTCTTTTGAAGGCAATAGAGAGATTCTTTTGTAATTTTAAATAGGATGACATTATTATTAGTCATTTATCTGAACTTCTGTCTGCATCTTTGTTAAAGAAGAGCCAACATTTTCGCGTGTATCTAGACGATATTTTACTTTTTGTAGGACAAACAACAAATCCAAATAACATTTTCTACTTTCGTAATAATCAAATGTAGTCCACAAAGCATTTCCCAATCCTCAGCCGGTCGTCTATGTAAATATCCAGATCCGTACGTGCTGCGATCGCGTGTCTCATTAACATAGCGCGCGGTAGCAAGAGCTGGTAGCAACGACAACGGTTTCCTGAAGTCTTATGAAAGGTTGTTCCACCATAGTACGATCCTCTCTGAAGCTTGAATTAGGGCATTAGTAGATTCTAGTCACTAGTAGGAGTGGTAGGCTTGAAGCCTTCGTCCGGATTCCCATAGTTCCTCTCTCAGAGTGATGGACAAATAACCGGGGTTTTAGTGGGAAAATATGGGTCTTTCTGATAAGTAGAGTCCACCCTTGACTACGTCACTAGTAGGCTTGAAAACTTCGTCCGGATTCTCATAGTTCCTCTCACTTTAGGCGAGTGACAGATCACCGGGGTTTTATTGGGTCCTTCTGATATGTAGAGCTCCACATAACTTACCTACCCTACCCCTTGCCCTCAAAAGGGAACTACTAGACACTAGTGGTATCTTTTAGGAGATATTACGACTAAAAGTTGGCGTTCTCTGGGCTCTAGCGGATGTATAACTTTGCAGAAAACAAGATAACGTTAATTGCGGTCGTCGCCACTTACGCCTACGCGTCAACAAAACATGCAAATATGGCTGTCAGCTCGACGAAAGAAGCAGTCAAAATGCTAACGTAACATTTTGCTCTGAATTAAATATTCTTTCTCCCACACGTCCGACCCAATCATGTAACATCAGCATTTTGCTGTCAATTAAATTCTTTCTCCTCCCACACGTCCTCATGTTGCAATAAAAATATTTCAACCCTACTGCCAGAGTTACTATTGGGTAATCTGTGCTACTACTTTGGGACTTTAATCTAGGCCGGTGTTAGAAACAGCGTAAGAAATTCACATCATCGGCCTTTTTGGCGGCCTACCAATGGTTTATTGATACAGGTGATAGGGCCATGACCTACCCAGCTTCTGAGCCAGGGGGCAAACCAGATTTCTTTAGACAGAGTCCCCTACATTTAGGAACATAATGACGAAATATAAAGTGAGTATTTAGCTAAGGACTTAACTCGCTCGTGGCGTGGATAGAACCTTCAGTTCTTTGTTATTTCTGAAAATATCTTCTCTTCACTCCCGCCTTGCTGACTGAGCTGACCTATAATTCAAAAGCCAATCTAGTACATCGAATGTATTCTCATTCCTTCCCACGTGCATATTGATCGCGTGCGCGTTACAATCGCGTGCGACTTGTCTTTCGTTCAGCCGACCGGCAGTCGCTTCTGTTTCAGTTTGAGTCTACTTTGGCCTTTAATAGCCTCTTCTGGGTTCTCCAAAGTTTTGCTGAGTGGTTAGAATGGACTGAAAAAGGTCTGTTTTGCTAACTTGATAGTCTTGATAATGTACATGTTTGTTAAATGTGTTATTAGTATCATAGTAACATTTAGTTTATTTATTTGGTGGGGCTGGTAGATAAAGAATGAACCACATGCAATTTTTTCCCCTCCCAACTTTTAAAATTAAAAATGCACACTGACAAATTGAACTAGAAATTAATGTATCTTAAACATTTTTTCTGTTGCCATGATTGACTTATGGTCCTATGTCCCCTAGATGGGGCAGAGGGCGTCATGTTGCCATGATAAGATCATCTAAATTTGGAAATACCTATTTATTTAGTATTTCATTCCTGAACTTTTGTCAACAATAACTTTATTGTTGTTGATTTCATTAATCAAATTGTAATAAACCTGCAACCTTATTGACAACATACTGCCATTCCTGATAATTTGAGTCATTGCAAAAACACAAACAAAACAAAAACACAAAACTTACAATAACAGTGACTCACTAGGGATTGGTAGCTCCGGTAAAAGAATTATCGCATCAAACGGAGCTTACTGGAATCTTATTAGAAAGAGCAATGCACTTAGCAAAGTACTGTCTTTATGTATGTTAGAGTTCATTTAACATATTTTAGTTTATTTCATAATAACTTGACAATAACTTAATATTTAATATAGTATAACATTGATAGCTTAGTTTCATTATTAAATTCTGTGTGGATACCTAAATAATGTAATAAATAAGGTTTTGATGCAAGGAACATTGTAAGATAAGTTTGCCAGTAAATCCAGATTCAATGTACAAGTCAATAGAAGCATATGGTATACATTTAAACAAAAATATGTTTGATATTGTAATAATTTTGTACATTTAAAAAAATCTCTAAAGAACTTTCTAGAAATAAAAAAGTTAATTACGCTTGTAATAATTAATTAAACAACTATTACATACTTACTAGATAGTCACACTGCAAAGCAAACAAGTTTCTATTATAAAAAAATGGGTTTGTTTACAATCTCCACTTTACATGTGATACATAGGTATCAAGCTAACATAAAGAATATTATTATAGTCTCAATATCAATAAAAACTTGTGGAAATGTGACACCAACGACAAAACCACGCAAGAACTGCTTCAGTTATTTGTTATGGTTGGCTGATCGCTGCAAACTAAGTTTAATAACTGCAGTAATAACACAGTAGCTGTATCTACAAAGATCTTGTAGGAAGAATGTAATATCACAAAATTACCAAAGGCCAACTTTCTTTTGGACTAAAATGGCATGAATACCTCGCTGAGAGATTAGTTACACCAGCAAAATCGTGATAGGACAAAGAATAGTTCAACTCACCAGCAGTTCAACTTTTTGATCGCAGACAAATCCGACTGTTTCGAACGAGCGATAACCATCTCTTCGGTGAGACGAGCCATTGTAGTGTCACTGCACTTACACTGTTTACAATTAACTAAATTGAACACTGGTTTACGCGTGCGAGGGACCGAGGTTGAACATTTTTTCGACACGACAGCAAGTCGGCGGGTGCTGCGGTTGACTAAAAAACAAGACACGATCGTCGCACACCGCGAGCAGTCGCAAGTTGGCTGTAGAGCGCGCGTTTCCAGAGTCCGAGACGACACGAGACTTTATCACTGACCACTGTAAGCATTGGACAGTGTTGATCATATTGACCAAACTTGATTCTTCAAGACCTTTTTCATGAGGCCATCATGAGCCTTTCAGTAGTTTCAATAGGCTCCGCGGTATGCACTTGTGGAATATGATGCTCAACCACAATAAGGAAGCTAGATGTTAGTGCTTCCTTCCGAGCGGGTGTTCTGCTCGGGGACCAAGGTCTTGGTTTGTCTATATATACTTGGCAGGATCTAAAACTCCGTCACCGCGATGCAGGTTTGTATGAGCGGCGGAGTGTGCCATAGTGAAGTAGTGACAGCGCCATCTGTTGGTCACTAGTTTGTAGTGGCGTCGCCACACACTGTACCATGTAAACTTTTAATAAGGGCCCATAACGCAGCGGTGCTATAATGCTAGTTAACGTTTTGAGAAAAGTCACTATTTATGAATAGATATTTATTAATTTGTTCAAATACGCAGTCCTTGAATTTCACGAAAAAAGACAGATACAAAAAAGAATTTTAAACTTTGCGTTGCACTAACGGAAGCGGAAGCCACAACTTTGCTGTGGGTAGTGGAAACGCGTCCATACGTCAAATTTTTTTGCTCACAAGTGAGCTCGGACATAGCTCAGCTAAATTATTCCAATAATGGCAACATTTTATCATTTTTTTTAATTTGCAATCAGCTGTCACAAGTTGACATTGACAGTTCAGTCATGATTTCGTGAAATTTGTGTTGTGTTTTTGTGCTGAAATTTATTTGAAAAATGGATTCCACGGACATTCTTGACGATAAAGATAGCGGTCCAGAGGTGCAGATCAATCTGCCAAGCTCTGTGATGAGCCGCATCGAGGAGTTGATGGGAGGAACTGAGCAATTCGACAGCGACGAAGTTGGTTCCATTTTCTGCTATTTACCTAAAAATATGACGTTTTTAGAATACCTTCTAGTTAAAAACACTTTCTAAAAACGGAAATTATTGTTAAAGACATGACACGTACCTGCAACATCTTATGAATGCACCAGAATGTGGTTTTTCCAAGTGTGTGTTTTGGTGCCCTTTTTGATGTCAGTTACCTAATTTGTTCTCAGTTCGATGCTGTGGCGTACATCAACAGAGTGTTCCCGACAGAGCAGTCTCTGTCTGGAGTGGAGAGCGCCGCAGCGAGATGCGAATTTAGGCTATCAGGTAAATACTCTCATAGCTTTAAGTTTTTGATTGCGAGCATGAAGAACTCATGACAAGTATATTAAACGTTATAACTTCGTACTTCTAGGCGTGGAACATGACATCAGGCGCCTGGTGCGTGCTCAAGCTGAGCAAAGGGAGGCAGGACAGAAGGCATTACTTGATGCACAACGCTGCATCGGAGAGTTGGCTCTGCAGGTACGGACTTTAAAAAATGCATTGTTGAGTATCTAGTTATTTTATAGTCAATATTAACCCGTTACCCTTCTTTGGCCTTTGTCCAGCAGTGGACGTCTTTCGGCTGAAACGAATGAACGAACTAACAAACCCTTCTTTGTCCAGCAATGAACAATGAACCTTTCTATGTTGCATAATCAGTAAATAGTGAAAACATAACCTATTGTAGGACTAATTTGACCAAATATTTGAGTGGGTTAGCTCTTTTTCACCGTAAGCCTGATTTATAGGCTTGAAATATGTAAACCATGTATGTAATGAAATGAAAATGTAAACCAAAATCTGCATTGACAAATTTTGGCACTGTGACACTGAAAAAATATTGAGTCCTGTTGTTTTTAGTTTCAAATTCAGTTAATTTGGTTGAGAGTAGCCCTAAAGTGGGAACTTAAGGCTGCTGCTGGAATATCGGAGAGTATTCCAACAGCAACTATATCTTGATGAATGATGGAGGAGGCTTTTACCCAAGTGGGGCCACAATCAATAGAAATACTTAATTAACTTTAAATATAACTGTAATAACTGTGGATTTTTAAAGCTATAATAAAAAAAAATAACTATATCTTAACTCATCCCTACCAGGTGGCAGACATAAACAAGAAGGCCGAACGCAGCGAGAGCATGGTCCGCGAGATCACAGCGGAGATCAAGCAGCTGGACTGCGCCAAGTGGAACCTGACAGCTGCCATCACCGCGCTCAACCATCTGCATATGCTTGTCGGCGGCGCTGACTCGCTGCGGAGCATGACGCTCGCCAAACAGTACAAGGAACTGGTGCTGCCCATGCAGGCTATCATGGAGGTAAAGTCCCGTCGCCAAGCAGATAGAATTTTGTCCAATGACCCCAAGCTACCCATCCTTATCGCTCGCGCGTAATTATATTGCTGTCGCGACTGTGCGACGCGCGCCCGCAGAGTGTGCGGGCGCCGTAAAATTCTTGTATGTAAAATTCTACATGCTCACAGACCGGGCTTTAAACGTTGCCAATCTCGTGTTTTATGACCCTCGCCACGTTGGCACTGGCTTCGGCTTACCTCCTCCTTTTTGAAGACAGTAAAAATAAGTGCCACTTGTGGTCTAAACTGAATAATAAAATAAAAAATAAAAGGTATTTATTTCAGGCATAGCCCATAAAAGTGTTAGCAACGAACGTCTTATAAACTATGATTCACACAATAACCTATACATAATTAAAGAACGACAATTTGGTGTCTTTAGTAAGATGGACGCGTGTCCAGTGCTGCATAATGGCACTGTCCACGTCCGACCTCGCCGCGACATTCTGCAGGAGGCTGTTGGAGTTGCCACGGTACACGATGGATCAGGGAATAAATATTTTTGATTTTGATTTGATTTTGTATATGGCGGCAGGTGCGTCTTGAACGTGTTCAAAAGAGATTTTTGAACCACCTGGCTTTCTCGGCAAAAATAACAAAAAAGATTCCTAGTTATACAAAGCGTCTTGCTCACTTTAAAATAAAATCCCTAGAAGCACGTTAGGCCAGTAGAATTAAACACAAAAATTGATTAAATCGGAAATAATTCCTACAAAAGATTTTTTTGCTTTAATGGCTTCATTGGTTGCCTATTAAGACTCTCCTAAGTTTTCGACTTCGACGGAGTTGTGCTTAAGTGGTGGGGGCCCCCGAAAGCGGCGTTTTTTCGGTTTTCCGGTTATACCGCGTAAAGGACTTACCCTATCGAAAAGTGGTCTTCATGACGGTTAAAGGGCACTTAATCCTGCATTGAATAAGACCAAATTCATATGTTTTGGACAAACTGTTCTCGCGCTAAAGTTCGGCAAAGTAGAAAATATACGTATAATTAATGACCCTCTCCACGTCCAATGGCTTGTTACCCACATGCTTCCAAGCCTTGTAAAGGGTCGCCTTAATCAGTGTAACCCTAACAAGGCTCACGAGTTTGATTCGCTTATCCTTGTTCGTCCCAGCCGTTCCTTAACTGCGGTTGCTGCACCTCTTCCTGACACTCTCCTGAACGACTCTGTGTTACCTAATGTGGCTGCCTCTCTTCCTTGTACCCTCCTGTACGATTGTTTATTTCATGTGTCAGATGACAAGGGTGGAAACAACCTACGATTCATGTTGTTTATTTACGTGCAATATGTGGGCATATTATAAAAGTGGAATGCCGAGTTGTATTTCTAAAACTTGTTCTATTATTTTATACTATTTGGCTGCGACTCGGCGTGACGACAATACAAAACATTTTTCGCGAATCGGTGTTCATACATTCACTTAATACATTAGACGCCATGTTGTCATAAACGACATATTATATAAAATCGCTGCGATTTAATATTCTTAATCATTAATTTTATGGCAAGTGTCCATCAGGAATCATTGTTCTTACACACAGAATCGTATTATTTCGCTTTCGGGTAGTAATATGTCAAAATTGTTGGTTCTTAGGCGAACAATGTATGGAGAACGAACATTGTCCTTTCAACACAATCCGTTCAGTAGTTTTTGCGTGAAAGAGTAACAAACATCCAGACATCCAAACTTTCGCATTTATAATATTAGCCGGATAGTAGGATATATTATTAGTAGGATACTTTATTAGGTATTTCCTGCGATTTCGCCCACGTTAATTTCGGCTTGTCACAGAAAGACTATGGGGTCACTTTTCTCATGGAAATCGTTAATGTGCGACTAAGAGATATCTATGCAAACGTCAAGCCTCCTCAATTCATTTGGCCAGCGTGGGAAGTATTGGCCAAATTTTCCATTTCGTTTGTTTCAGCCAAATGAGGTCCACAGCTGGACAAAGGCCTCCCCCAAAAATTTTTACAACAACCGGTCCTGCACTGCCCCCATCCAGGTACTTCCCGCGACCTTCACCAGATCGTCGGTCCACCTAGTGAGAGGCCTTTCCACCGCGTCTTGTGATCGCCACTCGAAAACTTTTCTGCGTTTGTCTCTAGTCAATCAAAGATGGATGTAATCCTGCAGTGGAGACTAAAGACCCTGCTTCCCTAGACAAAATGCACTTTTTGATCAAATAGAAAATCGAATACGTCAAAATTCCATACAAAAAAAGGCTTTTCGACCACTTTTCGACTGGTTTGCGATTATTATTTGCCCTTTGTCTAGACCCACTGATGATGATGTAATAAATTATTTTCTTAATTATTCCAGAGAGTTCGGTTCGAGCATAGAGAAGGCCTTCTACAAAGACATGACCGTGCCAGAACTGATCGACAGGCTACTGAAGAAGCGAGCGGCTGTCTTCATGGGCCCAGAAGATACCTACAAACTGGTCACCGGACAAGAAAGGTGAGTGGTATTAGTTCTTTTATTTACATTTTGATTGTAAAATCACACCTTGTAATAACAAGTAATTCAAGTAAGATACCACAGTTTGTATTTCCAAAGGATAATATCCTTTGTTATAATGAAATATGATTAAAGGAATACATCCTAAGTTATTATTTATATTTAATGGTTTCAGTAGTGCGTATTTGGAAGCACACTGGTTTCGCTAATGTCTAGTGTTTAAAGAGACATGGTGGACAGCAGGGAGGTTATGGATATCCGTAACCGTAACCGAAACTTTCGGATATCCGAAATAAAAAAATATCCAAAACCGTAACTGTAACCGATTCAAAAGTTTCATATAGTTTCGGATGTAGGCAGTTTAAATTGTTTTTTGTATAGCATTAGGTTTAATAAAGGCAAAACAGCCTGATTTACCTTTATAATGCCATCTAAGTATCAATTTTAATTTTTTTATTACTTTTTATTCGATGTAAAGTGTGCGACCATGAATGAACCGTATTGGACAACTATTACAAATTGCATTCTAAAGCACAGATATCCGTAACCGAAACCGGTATAATATTATTCCTATATCCGTAACCGTATCCATAACCGAAACTACATTATCCATAACATCCCTATTCAGTGATCATCAGAATGACAATATCAAAGTTATTGTTTAGTTGTAAATGGCTCTATTTTTGAACAAATGTGAATGTTATTGTGTTCTAGTATATTGCTGAATGCTGCTAAGCAAGAAATGCAAAGATTTATAATATCTTTTTTTGTAGTCTAATTTGTAAAAGCGCTTTTGCGGAAAACAACTAACTTTGATATGTTTTAATTAATTTCTAATACCTTACAGCGAAGACGGCTGGGAATCAGTGGGCACATTACAACAGAAGCCACCGCTACTGTTAGAAAACTGTCTAAGCTACGATGAGATGAAGTTATCGGCCTTTGTATACGTTAGCAGCCCTACGGAATGCATCAACAATGGGTCCAGGCATAATGAAGGGGTCGAGAGCGATGATGATGCGGAGACACACGCTGTTATTGTGGGTAAGGCTATAAAAAAATGTAGTGATGCCTGAGTATCGATAGTTTTCGAGGTGAACTATCGATAGTCATTTTATTTTCTACTAGCTATTGCCCGCGGCTTCACCCGCGTGAAATTTAGTTTCGTCATAAATTATAACCTATATGTTATTCGGGATTATACACAATAATACTGTAAAGTTTCATCAAAATCCGTTCAGTAGTTTTTGCGTAAAAGAGTAACAAACATCCAGACATCCAAACTTTTGCCTTTATAATATTAGTAGGATTACCAAATTGACATACCATTAATTGATTCGATAGTGTCGAAAGGCTATCGATACTATTGATATGACGTAGACTTAGAGTATCGATATTTTATGATAGTCGATTATCGATTAGCAACTCGTATTTCCTACTAGGTGGACCGACGATCTGGTAAAGGTCGCGGGAAGAGCCTGGATGCGGGCAGCGCAGGACCGTGCATTGTGGAAAACTTTGGAGGAGGCCTTTGTCCAGCAGTGGACGTCATTTGGCTGAAACGAACGAACGAACTCTATTTCAAAAAAGTTTCGCACTAGAATTCTTCCAATTAATTTTAATTAAATTAATTCCAGGACAAATAGGCGCTCGTTTCGAGCGTACCAACCGCATGGATTACGAAGATATCGTCATAACTGAACAGCAGAACCGCCTAGAGAATGGTTATGGTGAAGAGGTCACGCCGACAACTTGCCTCAATGTATTGAAGACTACTTACGTTCGGAATAACCAGTCGGCCAGGCATATGTGGCGGCAAATGTGGGCAGAATTCTATCAGGTGAGTAGTGACTTCGAAAATCGATATCGATAACATCAGGACTGTCATAAGTATCGACCATCGATATACTACTATTTATAGTTACCTATTTATCGATATATCGATAATGCTACAATGTAACCTTGTTGGTGATCAAATAAATAAATATACTACTTCATAGAATAGAATAGAATAATTGTTTATTCTTAACTATCGATAGTTATCAGCCCCCCTAGATAAAACGCACTTTTTGATCGAATCGAAAATCGAATCCGTCAAAACTCCATACAAAAAAGGGGCTTTTCGACCACTTTTCGACTGGTTTGCGATTAAAATTTGCACTTTGTCTAGACCCACAGGTCAGAAAAGGAAAAGATATCGATAGTTTGATTGTATCTAGCTAGAGTATCAGTAATATCGATAGTATTATCTACATAATTATCTCAAGAACACTACCTTAGACCATCTAATAGCGTAGAATCAATCATCATCATCATGTAATCTATCGATAACTTAATAACTGTAGTGTCTCAACACTATAGTCTGGTCCGTGAGCACGTAGAATTTTGTCCAATGACCCCTAGCTACCCATCCTTATCGCTCGCGCGTAATTATGTTGCTGTCGCGCTCGCACACTCATTGCGGACGCGCGTCGCACAGTCGCGACAGCAATATAATTACGCGCGAGCGATAAGGATGGGTAGCTAGGGGTCATTGGACAAAATTCTACGTGCTCACGGACCGGGCTTTAGACACTGAGCATTCTAATGATTCTTAATTAAAATTTGTATTCTTTTTCACTCAGGTGCACAGCGTAACCTACGAAGAACTAATCTCGTACGTAACAATAGAAACGAAATCGGAAGAGAAGCAATATACGGACCGGTACATCCCTATCGGCGATACAGTAGTGTTCGACAATGAAGTATACTATAAGCGGATAAGCGTGCTAGCGGAGAGCGCACTGCTTGAAGCGGAGAACAGGGCCAAGGAAGCGGAGAAGGACGCGTTTGTGAATGTGATCGGGTGTGGTGAGTTTTGGTTTTTATACCTTTCAACATCAAATAAACCGCACCTTCCGCGACGCGAACTTTAACGATTTTCTTCTGACACAATCATGGTGCCCCAACAATATTGGTGTTATTTGAAAGCCCAATAAATATCCTTAAAGAAAAACACATTTAATTTCTTAATAAATGATTAACATATACCATAAATGTGACTTGAAAAAATACCTCACTTTGGGCCTACCTATGGGATCAATTAGACCAATTTTTTTTGGTCATAAAACCAAATAATGATCTCACGTGTCCTCTTTAACAGATGGATAGCGATTTATTCCAACTTAACAGTTTTATAGCCATAAAAGTTGGCTCTAGCGTAACTACCTATTTTTTGAAGAAGTGACTCTGGATCCTTCTAAAGACACATTTTTGGGGTAAAAACCTTTCCTTTAATGAAATGATGGTTAGAACTAGGCTTTCAAATGGTGCCAATATTGGTGGGAAGTGGGAAAGCATACGTTTGAAAATGCTTGTCGCGGGAGGTGGGATTTATTTGATGTCGAGTGTATTTATGACACCGACGGACTAGCAAGCTGAAGTGGCAATGGGCAGGGCACATAGTACGCAGAACTGACGGCCGATGGGGCAGCAAGATTCTGTAGTGGAGGCAGCGTACCGGAAAACGCAGCGTGGGACGTCCACCTACAAGGTGGACCGACGACATCGTAAAGGTAGCAGGAAGGCACTGGACGCAGGCCGCTACCAACCGGGCAACATGGAAAGCATTGGGGGAGGTCTATGTTCAGCATTGGACGTCCTATGGCTGAGATGATGATGATAAATGAAGTGGAATTAGATTTAGGGATGTTTCCTGGGTCAAAAAGCAAGAGTTTTAATTAGTCCGTCAGTTAACTTATCAAAAAATACTCTACACGAATTTCACTTTTTCAAACTAATGAAAATTTAAAGAGATAAAGCGCGCCAAAGTTCATTAGAAGAGGCCCGTGACGTCAATGCGTGCATAAAAGTGCCGCACGTTGTGACGTCGTGCGGAACTTCAACGCACCATATCTATGTAATTATTTGTTAGATTGACAAATAAAAATATATGTGTCCAATATTTTGTAATATTAAGGCCGGGTAACAGAGAAAATGGCGAAAATGAGGTTTTCATTTTTCATTTTTGAGGTACTAAACAGTAAAATAAAAGGCTAAGATTTTTTTTGAGCATAGTTGAGGATATTTTCTAGGGCTATTAACGGATGGAAACACGATTTGATGAAGTTGACTCGATAGAATAAATTCCCAAAGTTACCTCTATTCGTTTTCTAATAATGGTTTTATTTTTAAAATAAGCGATTTGAGATTCTGAATCTTTTACTAAACTAAAGTTCAGAAATAACTTGAGGGCTTTTAACGGATGAAATTTTTATATTGCGTCTTATTTAGTTACTATGTTAAAAAATGTGGAAAAAATCGCCCATGACGGCTTGGACAATCTCAATCAGTCGCGCGGTGGCGCTTACGGAGGACGGACGCGTGCCAGTTTTTTGGACGGTTTGTCCAAAACATATGAATTTGGTCTTATTCAATGCAGGATTAAGTGCCCTTCAACCGTCATGAAGACCACTTTTTGATAGGGTAAGTCCTTTACGCGGTATAACCGGAAAACCGAAAAAGTGCCTCTTTCGGGGGCCCCCACCACTTAAGCACAACTCCGTCGAAGTCGAAAACTTAGGAGAGTCTTAATGAGCAACCAATGAAGCCATTAAAACAATAAAATCTTTTGTAGGAATTATTTCCGATTTAAAAGCTAATTCTACTGGACTAGTAGATCTACCCATGATTTAACTTTTTTGTTCAGAATTTTAAACTGTAAGGTTGATAGCCCCAATCTACTTTCTAAATTTAAACTTAAAATCCCTCACAGATACCCAAGGTACCATATTAAACTGCTATGCCCTCCTTACCGTAAAACTGTATCAGGATCCAACTCCCCTGTTTCAAGACTGTGTAAGTCATATAATAATCTCAGCGCTGATGTTAATTTGTTTGGCACAAATATTTCTAAATTCCGTCGTCAGATTAACCAAATAACCTAACTTAATTAATTAGCTAACTATTGTCAATCTTGGCACTCACTAGCCGCCTTGTGGTTGCTCGTTGCGTTGCAATTCAGTTTTTAGACTAAGTACTTACTTTCTTTGAATGGTTTGGTTTATATAAACGCATGCAGTGTTTACCTACTATTATACAGGGTGTCCCAAAAACAATGGATAACCCTGTAACCATCGATAGGCCTCGCCATGGTCTCCCTAACGTCCAATTTTGACCCCAGTAAAAATATCACCGTTTTCAAGATTTTTAAGTTTTTGTGCATTTTTAGAAAATTGCCATCTGCGATTACTTTTTCTCATGCCATTTCTACAAATGAGGATACTTTTCAATCTAGTTTTTTTCCTTATCACAAGGGATAGTTAGGCTATCAAAAGAAAATATCAAAGTTCAACAAACTAGTTTGAAAGTATGAAAATTTTAGGAAATTGCAGAAGAGAAGGAATAATTAATTCATTGTCTTGCACTTTTGATCAGCCATCGTTT